ATTTTTCACTTAGAGAAACAGAAGCTTATACAGTTTAAAGGACTGATTCAAGTTAACATGATTGTGAAATGATGATCCTGTGATAGATTCAGTTTTTCCTCTAAGATGTCCCATGACATCTTGTAGTAATGACGGATGTGGGTGAGATGGGATCATAAGAACACAAAGGCAGTTTGAGCTGAACAGAGGGCAGACTTGAATTTGCACTGTCTGTTTTCTTTAGGCTATGAGAGTAGCGTGAGTGAAATCAGGAAGGTGAAAAGTGTGGTTCCATCAGGCTATAGTCAGAAGAGAGTGATAGAAAGGCTGCTAGGCACAGCCTTTAAGAAATCAAGGGAATAAAAGACGCCACAGAAGCCAGCTGCCTAAAAGGGGAAGAATTCAATGAAAGGAGAACCAAGAGAAGCTTAGAGGGATTAAATTATATACCCAAGAAAGTAACAAGAGGAGCAGCAACAATGTTTATCTCACTTCAAAGTATTGTTCTTTTTAGGAAAGCACACAGCCTTTCTTTATATAAGCCCCTATTCCACATCAGAAGTGCTGGAGTTTTCTAAAATTCCACACCCTTCACTGACTCTTTGCAAGAAACCCAAAGAGGCTAGGTTCTGAGTTGACCAATTGAAATGCTCCATTTTCCAGCGATTCCCCTAACTCCCTTCTCCCTAACTCCTCTCCCATCCTATCCCTCCTCCCTAATTGTATTTGAAATAACTTAATTTCCTATGGGTGGGTATCTATTGCTCCAGCTGATAGTTGAGATCCGCCATGCTAGGCATTGTTTCTAGGTGCTGAAATACAGCAGTGAACAAAACAGATATCAATTGATAGCAATTTGTGACCAGGGATATAGTCACAGGTAATATCTCTACCTCAGGAAAGCTTAACTTCTTCCAGGAAGAGGAAAAGTAAAATGTATAGTCTTTTAGCTAGTGATAAGTACAATGGATAAGAAAGCAAAAGAGGATTTTGATAGAGGTTACAATTCTGAATAGACAGGTGAAAAGATGACATTCAGAAAAGGCTTAGTGGATGGGAAAGGGAGCCATGAGAATATCTGGGGAAAGAACATTTCCAGCAAATGATTCCAGGAGAATCAAAGGCCTGAGGACTCTGGCTTTTTCTCTAAGTGAATAGCGAGACATTGAGGTCTTTCCCCAGAGAAAATACATGACTGGGATTAAGCTGTAAAAGGCTCATGGTAGCTGTTGTGATAATGGGCAGTAGGTGGGCAAGGCCAGAAACAGAGACCAGCTAGGATGCTATTGCAATAATGAAGGGGAGAGATTATGAAAGCCATGTTGGATGTGGTGAAAAGGTCAGATTCTGGTTGTATTTTGGAGGCAGATATGACAAGATTTGCCATCAGATAGGGTGTGGGACAGAGAAAAAGAGGAGTCAAAGATGAGGCCACAACTCTTGACCAGGAAACTGAAAGGATAGAGTAGCTGTTTTCTGAGTTGGTGAACACAGAGGCAAGGGCAGTTCACACTTGAGCATGTTAGGTTTGAGATGCCTGTTAAACATTCAAGGAGAGATGCTGAGTAGGCAGAAGCTAGATAGGGAAGTCTCCAGTTCAGGGGAAGGGCACAGCAGCATGTAGATGTCACTTAAAGTCATGAGGCTTCCTGAAGGGTTGCACTTGGCTAAGTGCTGATTTAAAAGCACTCCTGCCTTCAGAAGCAATGTAAATGAATGCAACAAGTCGTGGAAAGAGGCAATGGGGAGAGGATTGAATAGTTGTAAATCAGAGTTCACAGATCTTACCCAAAGGTGGCAGCTACGTGTCAGATTCAGCTGATTTCTGCTATGCCAAATGCACAAGCTGGCCCAGTGGCATCAGAACTCCCCAACAAAAGACACTTTTCAGCCCACTAATTGGTAACCTCTGCCCTACGGGCCAGAATGTTGTGGGCTTGGGTTCTGCTTTCATTCATAAATCTGGGCTTCACTTTCCAGAGGACCAGTGGTGTGTTGAAACTGGCTACTATGGCTCATGTGAGCCAATCTTAGATTTTCAGGAATTTTGTAAAGATGGATGATAAACACAACCATTTAAAAAATTATATAAACTTACAGTTACATAAATTGTATTAAAAACAAGGTAAGAATGCTCAAAGCTTATCACTTACTAATTATTTTACTATATTTTGTTATTGTATATACTCCTGGAGTTTTTTCCTTCAATTGGATCTGTGTTCTGGAAATACTACATAATGGTGTATTTCTTCCCAACTTTGCTTCCAAGAACTTCATGTTGATAGCCTGAAATAAGCCATGTGGGAGTATTTACACCAAGGAAATTGTCAAACAATACAAATGAGTCCTATTTTTCCTGGAGAGCCAGTTTTAAATCTTTACCAGCATACCACTGTACAAATGTCATCTTTGGGACTGCACCACAGCTGGCTGATAAAAACTAGATGACAGTGGTAGACAGACACAGAGAGATTAAGTTCAGACACACAATTCCTAATTCCTGACAGAATATTTACCTGATAATTAAACAAAAATAGGACTAAGAAATTGTTACATACATCTCCAGAGACTGGCTTTGAAGCAGCCACATCTACAGTCTGTACCTCCTGCTTTTCCAGTAGCGATGACAGAGATTAATGGGATAAACAACAGAAGGTCAACAGAGCCATGCCCCAGGGAATTCCCTGGAGAAGAGCTTGACATTTTGAGTCAGTGTTTTCTGACTTCCACCCAATGATGTACGCTAATATAAAAATGCAATGGAAGAGCACGTTGTTTTTCCTCAGCATTCAAGGAACACATAGAGATAAGGTATAAGCAGGACAGTGGAGAAATCATTCTTTAGGAAACAAAACATATATATTGCCTGTAAAAAAACTCTTCCTTTGTAATTAATTTGTCTCCAACCATCTTTGAAGGCTTCAGGTTGGGCATAAGACAGCTCTCATGTAGGTAAAACCAAATGAGGCTCACTTTCTCCTTCCAGATTTCCTGAAGCGAACCTTTTTCCTTCCTTTTTACATGCCCTCTCCACAAATAGAGTTGGTAAAAAGTATCTGTTACAATGACCCGGACTTTACCATCCATGGCAAATCTCTCTAAATTATAGGCTTTTCCTCATAGAGACCATTTACGGTGGGCATAATACAAGGCTGTGTTCAACCATGCCACTCTTTGAACTAGCTGTACCGTGTTATTACCACACTAAACTGGAGTGGCCAGTTTTTCTATAAATAAATATTCTTGCTGGGTAGATGAAAATCCTTAGTAGCAGTTCCTACATTATTGATTTGCTGGTTTCTAGCCTCTCTGCTGGGAATGCCTTTTGAGTTGTTTTGAAAAGAGAAGTCTTGTAAACACTTGACTGTTGCTGGACTCAAGAAAAATCCGATTAGCGGGGAATCAACAACATTATTACTCAGCTGGGTTCCCTGTAATTCTTCCATCTTTGGGCCAGGTGGGTGGATGGGGGTGAGGAGGTTTCAAAGAGATTGTGTGCTCTTCCTGGATTCCACTTGTTTCTTTGCAACAGTCCTTTAATTTCTGTGGTGTTGGAAATGGAGCTAATAATGACAATTTGAACACAATTCACTTCTTCTCTGTGAAGGAGAACAAAGCAGAGATTATTGGCTTTGACAAGACAAAAGTGGTTAGAAGATTAATCAGTCACTCTTTGAGACTCCCCATCACCCACAGAAAATAAAGTCCAGGAACTCACTAGGAATTGGATAGCTCTTCACACAGCCTCCTAAGACCATCCATACATCGTGTCTTCAGGGCAGTGATTTTGTTATTGCTGTTTGTCTTGCTTTCTTTCCTTATAAAACACTATAAAGAGATATGTGTATTTGAGGTATTAAAAGGTAGGATGGCTTGCTGAAGCCTCAGATGCCATCTGAATTCCTTCACTGCCATCTCTGGGGTTTCTGCAGCTGTATCTTCTGACCCTGGAAACTGCTTCCTGGCCAGGAGACCCTGGTCACAAACTTGTGTCACCAGAGTCAAATCAGCCCTGTGGATCTCAGCTGAGTTCTAATCTTTTGCACCCATTCTGATGTTGGTGTCTTATAAACTGGCTCTCATATACACCTCTATGCTATTACCTGAATTCTCAACCTGTTACTTTTGCTTTAGGGCTTGGCTGAATTATGCTGCCCTAAGCCAGACTTCTCATGGTAGAGTCCTGCTACCTCATAGCAGCCTCTATTCCTGGTAGGGTCTACCTGCCTGATGGAGAGGAAACGTGGCCACTGATGGCTACATCTGCTGCCATGTGCCCAACTGTTTGGTCTTTTACCCATTATAGCCTGATTCTCAGTCCTGCTACACATGACTCACAAGAGAGCTTTTAAGGAATACTTATGCTGGGGCCCCATGCCTAAGAATTCAGAGTCAGTTGGTCTCATGTGATATTGATATTTTTAAATTCAAGGTTCTTGTTATGATCTGAGCTGTTTAGGGTGTTACCGCATAACATCCCTAAAATTCATATATTGAAGTCCTAAACCCCAGTGCCTCAGAATGTGACTGTATTTGGAGATTGCATATTTAAAGAGATAATAAATTAGAATTAGAGGTTATTAGGGTAGGCCTTAATTTGACTGATGTCCTTATAAGAAGAAGAAATGAGAACACAGAGACAGATACACAGAAGAAAGATCATGTGAAAACTGTGAGAAGACGGCTATCTAAAAACCAAGAAGAGAGGCCTCAGTAGAAACCCACCCTGTGAACACTTTGATCTCAGACTCCTATTCTCCAGAACCATGAAAAAATAATTTTCATTTAAGCTTCCCAGTTTGTGGTATTTGTCATGGCAGCCCTAGCAAACTAATATAGTCCTTAAGTAGATTCAAAAGCAGCCAGGAGTGGGGACCGCTAATCTAGTGGTTCTCAATCATCAAGTTACTTGGAGGGTTTGTTAAAGCACACATTATTGGATCCCACCCTCGAGGGGTCTGGCTCAGTATATATTCTGGCCTGACAATTTGCATTTCTATCAAGTTCCCAGTGATGCTGACATAGCTGGTACTAGGACCATATTTGCAAACCACTGCACTAACTTATTATGTGTTTTGGTTGGTTTTTGAGTCTCCAGCTTCCCCTCTCAACTCCCAGCCACTTTACGGAACACCCTCAGTGCCCAGGGGTCTCTTGTCCTTAGCCCTGGTTCTCCCTGGGCTGACTAGGTAAGCTACTCTTGATTCATACACATATTTCCTTAGAAACATGGAAAATTTTTAATGAAAAAAACATGTCTGGGAAGAGTTACGATCTCAATACTCCTGTATATGTGTTTGTGAATTTATGTATCTTTCTACAAAGAGTTTCAGGCAACTACTAAAACTTGGATGAACTGGGTCACTGCACATCTGAAGACGTGAATAAATGTTTCAATTTTAATACATTAATATTAAATGCATTTTATAGTTTCTGTGGGATTAATACTAAGTATTAAAATATTTTTATCAGTTTATTAACATTTGCTTTGAAGAGCCAAAAGAATAATAATATTGCTGTTTCATATTTGCAGAGACTTTGCAATGTGCCAGTAAGAGGATATATATGAGATCCTTACTCATGTGCTTGTCTCTTGTGAAGCTAATCACACTGGACTTTTAAGCCCATTCTTCCTGACATCCAGTCATTGACTCTGAATTAGCTGAGGCATGAGAACTTCACTGCAGGAAGATCCTGCCCCTTGCTTGCTCCTAAACGTGCCTTTAAAGTTCAATTTGACCAACCCACCATTGCAAGCGCTCTAGAGGAGAAGACAGCCTTGCTGTGTCCAATCCACTTTAGTTTATACATTTCTTGTCAGTCACATTTATGCTCCCACTGAATAGGACAGTGTGAACCATGGATTAAGTATGCAATAAATGGTTGTTGAATAAATCAGATAATTAAATGCATTCTGCACAGAATATGCTATTTCTGACCTTTGTGCCTTTGTGTATGCTCTTACTTCTCCTAGGCTGCTTGACCCTATTCTTTACCTAACTTGGATTTCAAGGTTTTGTTGAAAAATTTACTCTGGGCCCTAGCATTGTCCATAACTGTGCTCCTTCTCGCCTTTGCTTTGAAATTCAGTGGCTGTTGATTTAGTAATGCTGTCAATAAGACAGGATCCTATCAATAAGATCAATCTTTAGGAGCCCTGTGTAAAGTGCAGTCACATGGGTAATCTCATTTTATCTTCACAAGAGTTACCTTGTTGGTGGGGAAACTTTTAAAGGCTACACTTTTCTGCCTCACCTAAAACCAGGTAAATGAGAACATCCAGAGATGAATGCTGCAAATTATCATCTTACAAATGTCTTTGTGATTTTAATGTGCAACCAAGATTCAGAGTCAAATGGTCCACATCTATGGCACTGAACATCAAACATAAGTCTTCTTTGGATGAAATGAGCTCTTACAGTCTGAAAGAGACTTAAAAATAGTTTGGAAAGTTCTCCTCCAATTTTGTTCTCTCTGCTCCGTTTTCATTTTTGTTTCGTTTCCACTCCTCCAGGTTTCAGCTCTTCTCCACAGCTTGGAATCCAGTTCCTCCACCTGTTTCCTAGACTAAAACAATTTTGGTCTCCTCTCACTTCCCCCTATTTGCTTCCCCAATTGCCACGAGCTCAGCAAAACAGAAATAAAAACCATTCTCCAACCAGCTCTTGAGGTATCTCAGTCCATCCCAGCACTAGTATTTTAACTACCTTTTCAAAGAGAATAAGTCACTTGAGAGAAAGTCTCAGCATGTCTTTTTAATCTTTGGTTACAGTCATTCAACGAATGCAAGCCCATTATTTTTCCAGCAATAAGTCCCAAGGCATAGATGATGCAGGGATTTGTAAATTGGGTTAAATATTTTGTAGTTTCCTTATTGGGGGCCATTGAAATGTTCTATACTGGGGAGTTACAGGTTGAGAAAAGTATTTGCAAAAGATAACAAGGACTGCAAATAAATTCAAGGGAACTAAGAGTTAAGAGACAATTAGAGACAAAGATTGGAGTTGTGAAGAAACAAATGGGAAAATATTTCAGAGATAGCATTTATAAGGCAGCTTAAAATGATACAATACCCCATTCTTTGTGTTGTTGCATTTCCTCATGAGGGAATTAGATGTCACTGTGCAGGGGATTTCCACAATTTATGTTATGAAATAAGAGTATTTTTATATCTTCTTAGTACAATTTATCACTTCTCAGCCTTGCTTTCCTTTTAAAATTAAACATAAACTTGGCTCTTAAACAAAGAATGGGAGTAGGGAGCCAAGGGTAATTAAATATAAACTTCTGGATTTCTCTTCTTGATCAACATTGGTTTCTGATGTATGCATTCTGCAAACAGAAAAATGTTTTATATCCAACAAACAGAAGTTTTAAGTCAGCTGCAAGCAAAGCCAAAAAAATATAACATGTCTCATCTCTTTCTTTAATCTGTTGCTTTGTGCACATCTCTGCATATGTTCACTATAATTTCAGATCTTAAAAGTCATTAAATCAATTGACACCTGAAAGTTACAATGTAGTGGAACATCTAGAGGCTGTACCCACATTTCATGCATAGATTACTGCTCAGGGTCCACTAAACTTCCTGGCATTCAATGCCTTTTCCAGGACATCTTACAGGAGTTCACAGAGAGCCCCGTGTAGCCATTGTTAGGGTGACCATGTTACAATATGCCTAGCACAGTCCTAATTTATACCCCTGACCATGGCCTAGTTTTAACCTTGTTCCTGTCATTTTCAAAAGTGTCCTGATGTAGACTATGAATCATTCGATCATCCTAGCTATGAAGGTTAGAACAAATGTTTGTGCTGTGAATGGGACAAGGTTCTCTAAAATAAGACAGTTCACATTTCCTTTCCTTCATCACTCTCTGAGTAACTGAGATTTGAGAGGTAGGATCATGGACTTCAGGGAGTTGGAATTGGGGATGACCAAAGGAAAGGAAGCTGAGGTAGTAAGGGAAGATTAGAGTTCAAAAACTAGATTTCTCAAAAGCTCATCATACATGATAGGAGATATAAAAGAGCTAATGAAGTTTACTATTAATAACATACATAGATGGTAAATTGGATAAAAAGCCAAAACCCATCGGTGTGCTGTATCTGGGAAACCCATTACAAATCCAAGGATACACAAAGGCTCAACATAAAGGGATGGAGGAGGATTTACCAAGCAAATGGAGAGCAAAAAAAAAGCAGGAGTTGCAATTCTCGTCTCTGATAAAATGGACTTTAAACCAAAAAAGATCGAAAGAGACAAAGAAGGACATTACATAATGGTAAAAGGATCAATGCAACAAGAGGAGCTAATGATCCTAAATATATATTCACCCAATACAGGAGCACCCAGATACATAAGGCAAGTTCTTAATGACTTACAAAGAGACTTAGACTCCCACACAATAATAGTGGGAGACTTTAACACTCCATTGTCAATATTAGACAGATCAACCAGACAGAAAATTAACAAAGATATCCGGGACTTGAACTCAGACCTGGAACAAGCAAACCTAATAGACATTTACAGAATTCTCCACCCCAAATCCACAGAATATACATTCTTCTCAGCACCACATTGTACCTACCCTAAAACTGACCACATAATCGGAAGTAAATCACTCCTCAGCAAATGCAAAAGAATGGAAATCAAAGATCGGATGGTTGTAGATGTGTTGTGTTGCCTCCGAGGCCTCTGTTCTGTTCCATTGGTCTATATCTCTGTTTTGGTACCAGTTCCATGCTGTTTTGATTACTGTAGCCTTGTAGTATAGTTTGAAGTCCAGTAGTGTGATGCCTCCTGCTTTGTTCTTTTTGCTTAGAATTGACTTGGCTATGCGGGCTCTCTTTTGGTTCCATATGAAGGTTAAGGTGGTTTTTTCCAGTTCTGTGAAGAAGGTCAATGGTAGCTTGCTAGGAATAGCATTGAATCTGTAAATTACTTTGGGCAGTATGGCCATTTTCACGATATTGATTCTTCCTAACCATGAACATGGAATGTTTCTCCAACTGTTTGTGTCCTCTCTTATTTTGTTGAGCAGTGGCTTTAACAAAGCAGAAAAAAAACATAAGCAATGGGGAAAAATTCGCTGTTTAATAAATGGTGTTGGGAAAACTGGCTAGCCATGTGCAGAAAGCAGAAACTGGACCCCTTCCTGATGCCTTACACTAAAATTAACTCCAGATGGATTAAAGACTTAAACATAAGACCTAACACCATAAAAATCCTAGAAGAAAATCTAGGCAAAACCATTCAGGACATAGGCATAGGCAAGGACTTCATGACCAAAACACTAAAAGCATTGGCAGCAAAAGCCAAAATAGACAAATGGGACCTAATCAAATTCCACAGCTTCTGCATGGCAAAAGAAACAGTCATTAGAGTGAATCAGCAACCAACAGAACGGGAAAAAATTTTTGCAGTCTACCCATCTGACAAAGGGCTGATATCCAGAATTTACAATGAACTAAAACAGATCTACAAGAAAAAAAAACAAACAAGCCCATTCAAAAGTGGGTGAAGGATATGAACAGACACTTTACAAAAGAAGACATTTTTGAGGCCAACAAACATATGAAAAAATGCTCATCATCACTGGTCATTAGAGAAATGCAAATCAAAACTACATTGAGATACCATTTCACACCAGTTAGAATGGCACTCATTAAAAAATCTGGAGACAACATATGCTAGAGAGGATGTGGAGAAATAGGAACACTTTTACACTGTTGGTGGGAGTGTAAATTAGTTCCACCATTGTGGAAGACAGTGTGGCGATTCCTTAAGGACCTAGAAATAGAAATTCCATTTGACCCAGCAATCCCATTACTGGGTATATATCCAAAGGATTATAAATCGTTCTACTGTGAGGACACATGCACACAAATGTTCATTGCAGCCATGTTTACAATAGCAAAGACCTGGAACCAACCCAAATGCCCATCAATGATAGGCTGGACAGGGAAAATGTGGTACATATACACCATGGAATATTATGCAGCCATCAAAAACGATGAGTTTGTGTCCTTTGTAGGGACATGGATGAACCTGAAAACCATCATTCTCAGCAAACTTACACAAGAGCAGAAAATCAAACAACGCATGTTCTCACTCATAGGCGGGTGTTGAACAATGAGAACCCATGGACACAGGGAGGGGAGCACTACACACTGGGGTCTTTTGGGGGGAAATGGGGGAGGGATAGTAGGGGGTGGGGAGCTGGGGAGAGATAGCATGGGGAGAAAGGCAGCAAATCACACTGCCATGTGTTTACCTATGCAACGATCCTGCATGTTCTTCACATGTACCCTAAAACCTAAAATGCAATTAAAAAAAAAAAAAAAAACGGAAATCATAACAAACAGTCTCTCAGACCACAGTGCAATCAAGTTAGAACTCAGAATTCAGAAACTAACTCAGAACCACACAGCTTCATGGAAACTGAACAACTGGCTCTTGAATGTTGACTGGATAAACAATGAAATGAAGGCAGAAATAAAGATGTTCTTTGAAACCAACAGGAACGAAGACACAACATACCAGAATCTAGGGGACACATTTAAAGCAGTGTCTAGAGGAAAATATATAGTAATAAATGCCCACTTGAGAAGCAAGGAGATATATAAAATCGACACCCTATCATCAAAATTGAAAGAGCTAGAGGAACAAGATAAAAAAAACTCAAAACCTAGCAGAAGAGAAGAAATAGCTAAGATTAGAGCAGAACTGAAGGAGATAGAGACACACACAAAAAAACCTTCAAAAAATTAATAAATCCAGGAGCTGGTTTTTCAAAAAGATCAACAAAATAGACCACTAACCAGATTAATAAAAAAGAAAAGACAGAATAATCAAATAGATGCAATAAAAGGGGATATCAGCACACAAGAAAGGGGATATCATCACAGATTCCACAGAAATACA